GTGATGTTGATAAAGAAAAGGGGGTGAATTAAACTCTGGGTGCCAATTAAACCTGATAATACAGATGATGAAGTTGGTAGTCAAATTTCCACTTTAATTAAAAATACTTTCAAGTACTTTAATCTGTTATGAAATTTATATGGATTCGGAATACTTCTCTGGATTGATTTGTACCAGAATCAAGGTTTCATGTCATGCAATCTACATTAAGGAAACAGGAAGTGTTAATAATCATATGCCGAAGCTATGTATTTGCAGGTTACAGTTTAAGATTTATTGTTGCCAAAGTCAACTTGAGGAATTTTAAAAACATATAAACTCAGAAAATGTCAGGAATAAATAAGTAATCCACAAAATTTTATTATAATATTATAGAATATGAAAAATAACCAAACCCTCTACCATTGAGTTGATTCCAACTCATAGCAATCCTATAGGACAGAGTAGAACTTCTCCAAGGGGTCAAAGGCTGTAATCATTATGGAAGGAGACTGCCACATATTTCTTTCATGGAGCAGCTGGAGGGTTTGAACCCCCGAGCTTTTAGTTAGCTGCTGCATGCTTTAAGCACTGTGCCACTGAGCACCTTTAGAGATAATAAATTTCTGTAAGAATTTGACTATCCACAAGAGAGCCACTCTCGGTATCCATCATTCCAAAGTGTAATTGGTCTATCACTTGGCCCACGTTGTATTCCAGGTGCATCTCCTGAATCTACTAAGAACATGCAGAACCACCACTCAATTTAGTGTTACTTGTTTTTGTGGCCAAGATCATGCATTTAACCAAAGGGAATACAGGTATCCCCTGCTATCTGAAAGTAGAGCATTCCTGTAAATCTTTTGGTATAAGGCAAAGCAGCAAATACTTGTACTAGGAACAATTTTTGAGTGTTCTCAGACCCAAAAAATGACCCACCAAATCAGACCAAATACACATAAAACCTAACTCTGATATATAGTATTCACAGACACAGTTCAGAGGTTTGTCAGTGTGATGCTGAGTGTGAGTACTGGGAGGAGCTTGACAACACCATTCTCGAGGTGCACGCTGCCTGTTTAACAGCTCCCTGTAAAACAAACGCTGAAGGCTAGTTTCACTTTTCCCCTTCTTGTGTACAAACAAAAATCCTCTTCAGCTTTCTTTTCGGTTAGCAAAAACAAGTACTAACGTCGATCTTTCCTAGAAGAGAAGTGGCATAAAGTGAATTTTTGAAAAGTGGGGGGTACCTGTAGTTGATCGCCATTTAAAGACAGTGGAGCATCCACATGAATCATTAAGTTGAACATGGGCCGTTTCATTGTTGGCAGTGTCAGTCTCTTAATAGGGACTCCCCTTTCTGAGACTTTGATATTCATGTAACTAGAAAAGTTGTTCATTAACAAATATGAACCATAAACACAGTTACAACCTTTCTCTGCTTGTGGTGGTGTTGACTAGAAAGGATGCTATGTATGCCATTTATGAAGTACCAAAGGAGCCTGGTAAGTCAATTAGAATTATTGATGAAGGAGTCAGTATGGTTCTTTACTAGAGTACTTTCCTGGTGGTGTTCAGAATTTTGAATTAATAGTCCAAAACCAAAAAATTGCCAAGAATGAGTACTTTAAAAAAAAAATGATAATAACTGTCTAGTTTTCTCTTCATTTATGTTGTGATTTGTGTGAAAGTTTACGGAGCAAATTCATTTTCTATATGACAGTTCATAAACATTTTGTTTCATGACATTGATTGCAATCCCCACAATGCAACAGCTCTCTTCCCACTTCCTCCCTGTGGTTTCCTTTTCTCTGTGTCCTTCTTTCCTATGCATTCCTGCCCTCTGAGCTATCTCCCTGTGCAAATGTTACCCTTCTCATCTCCTGTGGTTAATTGTTCTAAGGCATGTACCTTAGAACAATTGGTTCTGGTGTAAATGTTCGCCTTGTTTGCCTGTCTGTTGTTTGGGTGGACACCATGGGAGTGAGTTCAATTCCAAGGCCAAAGGGTGGCTAGGGGCCATAGTTTCAGGATTTTCACCTGTCTCTATCAGATTAGTAGGCCTGTTTGTTTGTTTTGTTTTTTATGATTTTAAGTTTTGTTGCACATTTTTCTCCCACTCTATCCAGGATCTCCTATTTTGATCACTTTGTGAGTGGTTAACAGCGGTAGCTGGGCACCATCTATTTCTTCTGGTCTCAGGGTCATATAGGCTGAGGTTCACATAGTCTGCTAGTCCACTGGACTAATTGTTTTGATGTGTCTTTGGTTTTCTTCATTGTTCTTTGCTCCAGACTAGGAGAGTCTAATTGTTGCATCCTAGATGACTGCTGGCAAGCTTTTAAGACCCCACTCGCTATTCACCAAAGTAGGATGTAGAACAATGTTTTTGTGTAGTATGTTATGTCAGTTGAGCTTGACGTCCCCCAAAACCACAATCCCAAGCCCACAGGGCCAACATCTCACTGAAGTTGGTTGGCTGTTGCTAAGAAGTTATCATAACTTTTCCCTGTTAGCTCTATTATATACATGGTCATTCTTATAGCACATACAAAAACATATGTAGAGATATCGTCTGCCAAACTTAGAAATGGTCATGGGTATATTTCCTTTTGCCTAAATAGACCTTGTCATTCAGCCTGTCTACCTAGTATCCCCATACATTAATGTTTGTTATTACTGATAATGTGGTGTTATGTATATAAAAGTGTTTATCTTTATCTGTTCTTCTTGTGCTCCTACCTCTCTCTGTCTTCTTTTTCCTTAGTGTTATTGTATTGGTCACTCATTTTGGTATATTGCCTTCCCTTCACCTAAATTGATACTTGTCTCTTACCTATCTATCAATTTTCCCTCTTCTATCTAGTTTTACCATCACTCAACTTAATACATTTGGTATTTGGATATCAGCAATTCATTCCTTTTTAGTGCCAAGTAGTATTCCTTTGTATGAATATACAACAATTTATTTATCCAGTTTACCTGTTGATAGACAATTGTGCCCAGTTTGGGGCTGTTATGAATAAAGTTGCAATGAACATTCATGTTGACATATGTTTTCAGTTGTCTGGAGTAGATTCCAAGGAGTAGAGTTGCTGCACCGTGCAGCTCTCCAACATGGTTCTACTATTTTATAATCCCACCAGGAGTTCCAGTTGCTCCATATCCTCACGAGTATTTGGTGGGGTCAGTCTTGATTCTGGTGGGTGTGAAATGACAACTCTTTCATGGTTTTAATTTGTATTTCCATATTGACTAATGAAGTTGAGCTTCTTTTCATGTACTAATTAGCTATTTCTGTATCTTGTGTGTGTGTGAAGTCTATTTTATTATTTTGGAGGTGGGGGTGAGATTTCAACCTGTTTAAGAATTCTTGGTTACTTCTCAGAGACCAAAATGACCCAGGGTCATGTTTATCAGAGCCCAAGGTCCTGCCTGCTCCATAATTTCAGGAGTCATGAATTCAAAGTATAAAACTGAAGATGCAAATAGATCTCCATAAACCCTTAAAATCTAGATGGTATTGAAGAGTTGAGTGGGAGTTCAGCCTGATAGCCAGGTATTAGCCATTCTATGTTATATTTTTTTCAGTCTGTTGAGAACCTAAGTAAGCAAGTTACTTCTCATAGAGACAGTGGAGAGTGAGAGTGTGGAACTTGGACCTGGAAGCCAGCAACTATCACCACATTGGCCATTTATTGTGTCTTCCTTGGGTGATTTAACTGATACCTCTGGGCCTCAGTTTCTTGGAAAATGGGGAAGAATGTGATAGTAACTATATCCCAGGCTGTTAGTATAATTAAAGGAATCAGTACAGAGAGAGCACTTATAATAGAGCTCTAGTGGCGCAGTACCTAAGGCATTTGACTGCTAAGCAGAAGGTTGGAGATTCAAACCCACCAGCTGCTCCGTGGAAGATGGGGCAATCTACTTCCATAGAGATTGACCACCTCAGAAATCCAAAGAGGGGTTGCTATGAGTCAGAATCAACTCCATGGCAGTGGGGTTGGTTGTTTTTGTGTAATAGTGTTAGACTTACAGAAAGTGCTTATGAGAATTACCTATTGTTATTATTGATTTTTATTACTATTGAATTAACAGTCTAGCATAGTTATAATTATCTAAAGTATATGTTTTCCTTAGTGACTAATCATTAAACCAATATCAAATGGTTATATACTGTATGATTCTATAAGATTCTCAAAATTATCAAATTACAGAAGTGGATAGCAGATTAGTAGCCCACCAATGACAGGAGCTGGGAGGAAAGGGGAACATGACTATAAAGAGGAAGCAAGAGGCAATTCTTTTGTTCGGATCAAACAGTTCTGTCTTGTGATACTGGTACCCTGAGCTTATACTTGTGATAGAATTGCATGGAACAGCACACACACACACCAGAATTCACACACACACAATGAGTGCATGCACAAACTGGTGAAATCTGAGTAAGGTCTACAGATTGTACCAGCTTCAGTCTCCTGGCTTGATATTGTACTGTGGGTATTTGTGGAAGATGTTGCTTTTGGGAGAAACTGAGTGAGAGATACACAGGGCCTCTCTGTACTAGTGTTATGATTTTCTCTCAGTCTGTAATTCTTTCAAATAGAGAGAAAAAAAGAAATCCCACTAGGTGAGTATCATTGTTTGAGTCACTTTGGATGCACTGGTCAATATAGATGCAATCTCTGTCCCAGTAGAGCCTAGAGTTTTGAGGGAAGGACAGGGAAGTAGAGGCCACCTCAGATGCTCTGGAGGAGGTCAGTGGGCCTGGGAGAATCCCAGTAAGAGTGTAACTTAGACTGGGATGAGGCCAGGGAAAGTGTCCCAGAGGAATTGGTTAGCTAATTTTAAAAGTGCATGACACATGGAAAGAATCTGAAACACTGTTTGGACTCCTGTGGCATCTATAGGACTAAACTTTTTCTTGAGACTTTTGCCCCTGTTGGCTGGAGTCTTCTGGCTGCAGTGTCAGTGGCCAGGACACCAGGCAGCCTTCATCTGCCATTTCTCCTCCCCAGTGTCCAACAAGCACCCATTTGTGGACAGCAATCTTCTCTACCAGTTCAGAATGAACTTCCGTCGGAGGCGAAGACTGATGGAGCTGCTCAATGACAAGTCCCCCTCCCCCCAGGAAACTCACGACAGTCCTTTCTGCCTGAGGAAGCAGAGCCACGACAATCGGAAATCTACCAGCTTTATGTCAGGTATGTTGTCAGCCCTATGGTTTGACCACATAGAATTATTTTCTGAAAAATAGAGTAATAAGTCACCTTTGGTGGTGTAGTGGATAAGACACTTGACTGCTAGCCAGAAGGTCAGCGGTTCAAACCCACCAGCTGCTCCACAGAAGGAAGACGGAGTGATATACTTCATAAAGATTTACAGCCTTGGAAACCCAATGGGGCTTGCTATGAGTCAAAAATGACTTGATGGCAGTGAGTTTAGTTTTTTTTTAGCAAATTTTCATGTATTTGTAGCCAAGAAGTATGCCACAAAGCAAGTTGTCTCTAAGCAGCAAACTTAGATGCCATGAAGTCTGGTTTTATTGCTGTTTTTTTTTTTTTTTTTTTAATTATGTACTTGAACTATAGTACATTCTTTCATGCTTTCACTCAGAGGATATTTAATTTTAACTTACAAGCAGTTCTTACCAAAACTAAACAACAAACCCATTATTCTCACCTTA